TAATTTTCTCTAACAATCTCTCTTTAGGTATAGAACATCGGGCATATGTGAGGAAGATGTTCTTGTTTTGGACTCTAAAACGACGTCGCATTGATGCCATAACTCACTCTCAATGACGTCACTTACTCTCTCGGATGACGCAAGTCACTCTCTGAAAACTTTACTGGTGGAAGAGAGTTAGGGAGTGAGTTATATAGGTGCCCAGGAGCGTCCCACTAATATTACCTGGGACGCTCCCCCCCCGTGCCACGTGTCGTCCCCCGATTGGTCCGCATTTTGTGGCGTGTTGTCAGCTAGTGTCTCCGCTCCGCGCCCAGATCTGCGGCCAGGATTAAAAATCAAAAAAGGCAAGCCCCGCTCACTGATCTGCGGCCAGGATTAAAAATCGAAAAAGGCAAGCGCAGGCGGGAAATTATATAAGCCAAAATAATTGGGGGAGTTTGAATTATTTTGCAAATGGATCGCGGAGATCTAGGCCAATTTCGGCGGTTGATTTTAAAATATGAGCCGGATCTATTACTGCTGCATTGGTCCTTGTTGGTCGTCGGCGAAAACAACGCTGAAAATTTAATCCGGCTCATCAACGCCTTACAGCGGCAAGAAGATGCTCTATTCGCCGGTCTGAAAACGGTTTCCAAAACAGAAACCCCAGCGACGACTCCAATTATGCGGACGATGGAGCAACGTGCAGATAGGTGTTCTGCCGCCGATGTCTGCTACATCACCGCGCCTTCCGAAAATCAGCCTGTGCGTTCTGGTTGTGGATGTTCGGATCATAAAAATAAAATGTAAATTATTATTTTGTAACTTTCTTAATCGCAATAAAATTTGGGCCTACTCTCTAGTGTCCACTTCTTTCATAGTTTGGATGGGCCGCTTACTGATGGTCCTATCTGTAATGGGCTGATGTACCATATGTCTGGGCCTATTTTAATATAACTAATAAACATTAAATGGGCCTCATTGTTGTAATTGGGCTGTTAGTCTGTTTACCAATTACAGCCCATTTATCCAGCTTAAACCTGCTCAGAAATCGAATTTATATAAAACTGCATTTTTATTTAATCATAAAAATTTACATAAATATTGTCCCATCGCCAATATTTTACATAATATGAAAGCTCGTCGAGTACAATGGTCAGTGCGAGACAATAGTTCACAGGGCTAATAATCCCAAAGTTGGATAATTTGATCGTCATTCTGCGTGCAATAAGCTGGGTAAATACAGTCTCCGACAGGCTTCTGCGACCAAAATAATCTGAAAATAATACTAACCATTACCTGGTATTCCAAAACCGTGGGCGAAACAACCCACATGATGCACTTCCCAAAATCGGCAACGTCAAGCACGTGGGCCGCCATGAGTTTTCTTAAAAGTTTTCAATACAACTTTGAAATCACAAGTGGCCCCACCTACCACACCATCAGATCCAAAACCGGGCGGCAAAAGGCACAAATCAACCAAAATATATATAAATATATGTAAAGGTGATATAGCTTTTACCATTCCCCAACACACATCGCCTGTAAAGAGCAGACAGGCCATAACACGTTACACAATATCCACAAAAACCTCCACGCACTATGACTCACGTGAGGCATACATCGTCTCCTTCAAACCTCACCCCACTGTAATTCCGATGTGGGGCTTGCTATCATTCACCAACCACCGTCGACAGTACCCAGCACGAAATAAACCAAGCAGAGAAACTTGCACAGCAACCTCCGAAGAAATCACCGGCGACCTCTGAGAGACCACCACCTTAATAATCTGTAATCATCTCCAGATCGTAACAACCAGACCGTCAAGCTCGCTGACCAAACTGCAGCTATTCCGCAACCTTGATAAATCGCTCCATGGTATAGACACATGGAAGAAACACCACATACCCCGATCAAAAATAACCTGGGCACGAACACAACTGTCATGAGACCACACAACCAGCATCGCCTACAACGGGCTACCAAAAAAGGCAACAACTGTAGTACCAAAGAACATCATACTCCTTGAAGCATGCACACACTGCCAGGGAAGAATAAAGCTTGAAACCGGCGCCGGAGCAAACCGAGACCAGCACCATCTTCGTAAGCAGTCTAGCAGGCAACACTTGAACACCCAAACCGAGATCAAGACTAGCCCCAGCCGAAACAGAGGACCAAATAATTCCGGTGGGCAGCACACCCACCCAAAACGACAACGACCCACAACACTTAAAACCCTTCTAAACTGGACAAAAAAAGACCAGATTCAGAACAACACAGGACCACCCAAACCAGACAAAAAAAAACCTGATAAGGAACCCTCAAAACACCATGGGTAACAACGGTGGGAGCTTTCTCTCTCTACATTCTAGAGTGAGAAGCTCTCTCAACCTAATCCCCTTTTTTTATGATGTCACTTACTCTCTCGGATGACGCAAGTCACTCTCTGAAAAATTTACTGGTGGAAGAGAGTTAGGGAGTGAGTTATATAGGTGCGCAGGAGCGTCCCACTAATATTACCTGGGACGCTCCCCCCGCGCCACGTGTCGTCCACCGATTGGTGCTCCCTTCCGCATTTTGTGGCGTGTTGTCGGCTAGTGTCTCCGCTCCGCGCTCAGATCTGCGGCCAAGATTAAAAATCAAAAAAGGCAAGCGCCGCTCCCCGATCTGCGGCCAGGATTAAAAATCGAAAAAGGCAAGCGCAGGCGGGAAATTATATAAGCCAAAATAATTGGGGGAGTTTGAATTATTTTGCAAATGGATCGCGGAGATCTAGGCCAATTTCGGCGGTTGATTTTAATATAACTAAAACTAGGCCAAATCTACCCAACAACACCCAACATGTCAAAATGCTAAAATTTAAAGACAAAATCCATAAGGAGAAGTAGGATATCCCTACCTCAAAATATGGCACTCAACGGAGAAGGCGAAGAAACTCAACGTGCTCCAAAGCTCAATATTTTTGGATCAAAAGATAGCCCTCGACAATCAACCCAACTTTTAAAAAGACCAAAGGTAAGGAGAACACCCTAGCTATCAAACCCTAGAGAGAAGGGAGATTCTAGAGAGAGGAGCTCTCAAAAATGGGTTTTAGAAAAGTAAGAGAGAGAGTGTGGATGTAAAAAGTGATTTAAAATAGCCTAGCTGTCAACTGATATACGACTCTCCCGCTCGAGCGGAGAACACAACGCTCGAGCGTCAAGGACAAAAAGCTAGGTACGCTCGAGTGCAAGAAGTCCCGCTCGAGCGCCAAGACACAAGAGTAAAGTACATCCGCTCGAGCACGAAAAACAGTCCGCTCGAGCGTAGATTTCTCCCTCCCAGAACTTACACCAAAAAGTACCACCCACTCGAGCGCTAACAAGTCCGCTCGAGCGCGACCCGCTCGAGCACAAGAGACACGCTCGAGCGTAGAAAACACATCTGCAGAAGTTTTGCAGTGGCACGAAATACTGAAACTGTGAAAACCCCGCTCGAGCGCAGGGTCGCTTGAGCGGACCGTTCAGAAACTGGGCAACAACAAGGGGAGCTAAAGCTCTACCAACCTGTCTAGGGCTTCCGCTCCGCGCCCAGATCTGCGGCCAGGATTAAAAGTCTAAAAAGGCAAGCGCCGCTCCCCAATCTACGGCCAAGATTAAAAATCTAAAAAGGCAAGCGCAGGCAGGAAATTATATAAGCCAAAATAATTGGGGGAGTTTGAATTATTTTGGGAATGGATCGCAGAGATCTAGGCCAATTTCGGTGACTGGTTTTAAAATACGAGCCGGATCTATTACTGCTGCGCCTATGCGGTCTTTGGGCTTCGTCTCTTATATTGTCTGCAACCCATTGTTGTATTGCTATTGGAACGATCCATACTGTGTCTGTAAATGGATGAACATACGGCCATGGTGGATTAAATGAAATCCGGTCATAATTTGATGACAACTTGTCATAATTTAACCAGAAACATTTTGGGTCGCCATTTCGTACCACTGCTAGTGCTTCGTTCTTGTTGCCGGCTGCAAGTGCATCCCGATATATATTGTCTTTGTTATTCTGGTTAGCGCAACGGCTCCTCTCACGGAATTCACCCCATTCCGTGTAATCCCCTTGTTTAGAGATGTATTCCAGCACATTCTGTTGGTTGTACGCCCCTTGTACATTCGGATGGAAATGGCGACTAGTTCGATCGTGAGTAACGTCGAAGAACCATTCATTCTGCGTCTTTTGTGGATCGAAAATGTGATTCGGAATTGCTGCGTGTTAGTCTTGCCTTCGTCACTTTGCGGACACGTGCCAAATATCCACGTGGCTGTTGTTGAATACCTTGGACAAAACAGTTATTAATGGCGGCCGATAAGTTATTTCCTCTGGGAACGATGATGTTTGGAAAGCCAATGTGGCTTTAATTTTGCAATATTTCACATCATCGTTGATGTTTGTTTGAAGCAATTTGTAGGACCATGTCCATGGACATCCTTTTTTATCTGCGGCCGCATAGGCGTTTCCCAAATATGTTATGTCTACTGGGCATGTAACTGGAAATGTAAAGCGGGCTTGTAATTAATCATAAAAATTTACATAAATATTGTCCCATCGCCAATATTTTACATAATATGAAAGCTCGTCGAGTACAATGGTCAGTGCGAGACAATAGTTTACAGGGCTAATAATCCCAAAGCTGGATAATTTGATCATCATCCTGCGTGCAATAAGCTGGGTAAATACAGTCTCCGACAGGCTTCTGCGACCACTGAAAGTCAGCTACGTATACATTGTTGCTGTAAACGTCTGGATTCCCAATGCTTTCCGGAGGTTGTAGTTGAATAGGCATTATATCTTGTAGACCCCCTGATTGCCCGGTCTGGAGAGGTCTATTGCTTTGAACCACATCGGGTTCTTCAAAGTATCGTAAAAGACCCCTGACAGCGTCCTCTCTCTCCAATGTATGTGGTTCGACGCATCCGTTTGTATGGAATATCGAGCAGCCGCATTGGAAGTGGAATATCTTCCTGCGTTGGGCCTTCTTCTTGGCATTACGATGCCTCTTCTTGACTGGTTCTGGCGAACAAAGGTTCGTTGACTGTATAGAGTTCTGCGTTTCGGTATGTCCACGCTTTGAGCCCGGCGTGTTCATGTTTTTCCAAATACTCTTTGTAGCTGGAGTCTTCTCCGGGGTTGCATAATATAATACTTGGAATCCCGCCCGTTATTTTCTTTGGGCCGGCATATTTACAATTTGAAAAAAAGTCCCGTTGCGCTCCAATAAACTCGCGCCAATGTTTCAAATATTGTGGGGCCACATCATCAATTATGTTGTAGAAAGCGTCGTTCTTGTGGTCCCTCAGGTCGATGTGGCCAGAATAATAATCATGTGGTCCCAAAGACCGGGCCCAACATGTTTTCCCAATTCTAGATGGGCCTTCAATTATAATGCTTTTGGGCCTATGCGGTCTTTGGGCTTCGTCTCTTATATTGTCTGCAACCCATTGTTGTATTGCTGTTGGGACGACCCATACTGTGTCTGTAAATGGATGAACATACGGCAATGGTGGATTAAATGAAATCCGGTCATAATTTGATGACAATTTGTCATAATTTAACCAGAAACATTTTGGGTCGCCATTTCGTACCAGTGCTAGTGCTTCGTCCTTGGTGCCGGCTGCAAGTGCATCCCGATATATATTTTCTTTGTTATTCTGGTTAGCGCAGCGGCTCCTCTCACGGAATTCGCCCCATTCCGTGTAATCCCCGTGTTTGGAGATGTATTCCAGCACATTCTGTTGGTTGTATGCCCCTTGTACATTCGGATGGAAATGGCGACTATTTCGATTGTGGGTAACGTCGAAGAACCGTTCATTCTGAGTCTGAAAACGATATGGAAATTGAACATGGGCATGGAGGTGTGGTTGCCCGTCCTCGTGTAATTCATGTGCAACCCTCACATAATTTGGTGGCCTGGTTGTGAACAGCTCTCTAATTTTCTCTAACAATCTCTCTTTAGGTATAGAACACCGGGCATATGTCAGGAAGATGTTCTTGTTTTGGACTCTAAAACGATGTCGCATTGATGCCATAACTCACTCTCGATGACGTCACTTACTCTCTCGGATGACGCAAGTCACTCTCTGAAAACTTTACTGGTGGAAGAGAGTTAGGGAGTGAGTTATATAGGTGCCCAGGAGCGTCCCACTAATATTACCTGGGACGCTCCCCCCCCGCGCCACGTGTCGTCCCCCGATTGGTGCTTCCTTCCGCATTTTGTGGCGTGTTGTCGGCTAGTGTCTCCGCTCCGCGCCTAGATCTGCGGCCAGGATTAAAAATCTAAAAGGCAAGCGCCGCTCCCCGATCTGCGGCCAGGATTAAAAATCGAAAAAGGCAAGCGCAGGCGGGAAATTATATAAGCCAAAATAATTGGGGGAGTTTGAATTATTTTTCAAATGGATCGCGGAGATCTAGGCCAATTTCGGCGGTTGATTTTAAAATACGAGCCGGATCTATTACTGCTGCATTGGTCCTTGTTGGTCGTCGGCGAAAACAACGCTGAAAATTTAATCCGGCTCATCAACGCCTTACAGCGGCAAGAAGATGCTCTATTCGCTGGTCTGAAAACGGTTTCCGAAACAGAAACCCCAACGACGACTCCAATTATGCAGACGATGGAGCAATGTGTAGATAGGTGTTCTGCCGCCGATGATGGTGAACGATTAAAGGATTGGTATCTTTGATTTGCATAGCACACCCATGGGATATGCACAACTTGTATACTCATATGGATTTATGTTCATGTATATGCACAATAAACAACTTTCTTTCCAGCTCCAGCAGTACAGACATTCCCTAGATAAAGAGCAGAGTACGATATGGTCTGTAATTTGAAATTCTGAATGTATGCCATGTAATATGTTGCAAAGGGACTTGCAGCACTACCACAAGTTCTGTTACAAGTAAAGATAGAAAGAAACACAAACGAACACTGAACAAGAGTACAAGACTCAAAGTTGAAACACGTGGTGTTCCCAATTCGGAAGTGGTAACATTGCCACAAACTAATACAAAAGAAAAACAAAATGCAAGCACACACATACAAGCATGAGAGCAAGACAGACACAGAGCTAGAGTCAGGCTAATGCTCCGTTTATTTCAGCGGAAAACTTTTTCCAAAGGAAAACATTTTCTACAAAAAAAAAAAAATTCAGAAAATTTTTCCTATGCTTGGTTGCATTCTTGAAACTAATGCACTAATAGTTGCATTAATGATAATAGTAGTGGCAGTGGTAAGGTGGAGAAGGATGTAGCTACTGCGACAATGGCGATGATGGTGGTAGTGGCAACGTGGTGGCATTGGTAAAAGTTTAGTTTGGAAAATGTTTTCTACCTTTTAAAAGTGAAAAATATTTTTCGCCCAAATTGGCTTGTTTTCCATTGACCATGAAAAATGTGTTTCAGTTGACTTTTATTTTTCGTCGTACCAAACACCAGAAAATGTTAAAAATATTTTCTAGAAAATGTTTTCTACCAAAACAAACATGATAAGCTCACTAAGCCATTGCAGAAAATATGTTTTGTTGCATAGTTGAAACCACAAGTCTTGAAATAGCTCAAGCCAAAGCTAAAGGAATGTAACCAAGAAGAGATACAACAACAATCTTAACAAGACTCTAACAACTAGAAGCACATGATACCAAGGCATTGCTTATGTAATCAAGAGAGTGAGAAGGATTTGTATAGATACAAGAGTGATAGATATATAACTGTAAACTAGTTAACAAACTCTAACTGATTTGTATAAATATGTGTAAACATGAGTTGATTAATTCATTGAGAATTCATTTCTGATTTTTGTTATGGTATTAGAGCCTTAGCAGCTCTCAAGAGCAAGGTCCAACAATGGTGATTTCTTCTTCTTCAAATTCTCAATCCATCCCATCGAATCTGAGTCTTGTTGTTGTAAATTTCAATTCATTGGTCACTGTCAAGCTTGATTCCACAAATTTCTTAATTTGGAAAAGACAGCTTCAGAATGTTCTTCGAGCAACAGATCTTCTTGATTTTGTTACTGGTTTGGTACCTTGTCCTGTTTCAAATATTCTTGATTCCACTAGAAAAACTGTGCCAAATCTAGATTTTGTCAAATGGAAAACAATGGATGCACATCTTCTAAGTTGCGTAACTCCAACACTCTCACCTTCTGTGTTTTCCTTAGTCCTTTATCATCAACACTACTTTCAAGTATGGAGTGCTTTGGAGAAGACATACATTTCACTCTCTCGCTCATATATTCATTATTTGAAAAATCAGTTACAGTCAATCACGAAAAACGAGGCTTCAATGGAAGAATATTTGAATCAAATCAAATCAAGGAAATTTCTTCTAAACTTCCTCTTGTTTGTTCAACAGTTAATGATGAAGATCTTGTGCTTCTAACCTTGAATGGGTTACCTGATGAGTATGATGCTCTTAAAATTGCTATATGTGCTTGAGTTTAGTCAATTTCAATGGAAAATTTGTGCTCTCTTCTATGTTCAGAGGCAATACATGTTGAGAACAAAACCAAACTCATTTTACAAAATGAATCTCCAGTTACTTATGCTACAACTAAGAATTCTGCCAATTCACCATCCTACTCTCAGTATTTTAGGGCACATTCCTCTACACATTCAGGTTACAAAGGCTGACCTTCTTTTTATGGCTCTAGAGGTGGAAGGTACAGAAAAGGTCGATCAAATCAATCTCACAAAGGTGGATTTGAGGAACTAGTAGTAGTTATCCTACTATTTTTGGTTGTCAAATATGTGGAGGATTCAATCATATTACTTCTGATTGCTGGTTCTGAATGGGTCCAACCTATGAGCTACCTCATTCTTCTTCATTTTCATCTTCTTCAGTGCCTCAATCTAAGGCTTGATCTGTCATTACAAATCAACATTCATCACCTCAGTCCTCTTTTCCTTCTGATTCCTCTGTTACATCTTAATATATTGATTCTTCTGCCACAAATCATATTACCAATGATCTTGGTAATCTTTATCTCTATCAACCATATCAAGGGCAAGATCAAGTGACTGTAGGGAATGACTAGAACATTCCTATTCAACACATTGGTAAGGGCTTATTTCCTACTCCACAATTTTCTTTTCAGATCAATAATCTTTTTCATGCCCCTACCATTTCTTCAAATCTCTTATATGTTCATCAATTAGCTAAGGATAATAATTGTAAAGTTACTTTTGATGCTAACTCTTTTATTGTTCAGAACAAGCATATGAATCAAGTTCTGCACAAAGGTCCTAATGTGAATGGTCTTTATCAATTTACTTATTCTTCTCCACCATTACTTCAAGCTCATCTTGCTCACACTTTATCTCAGACTTCCTTACCTATTTGGCATCAGAGGCTTGGTCATCTATCACCTCTGAAATTTCATTATTACTTAGCATTTATCTACTAGTTTTAAGAATAAGGATTGTACTGAATTTGCTTGTACTCCTTGTAGTATTGCTAAAATTCATAGA